TATATATATATATATATATATATATATATATATATATGCTATATCTATAGACTAGAGAGAGAGACTACACATGTACATATTCATTTATATTCTGTTTGTTAATTCAGACTCTAGCGGGGACATTGTGGTGACTCAGACTCCAGAATCCCTGGCAGTGTCTCCAGGAGAGAAAGTCACCATCAACTGCAAAGCCAGTTCAAGCCTTACTTACGAAGGCAAGGAATACTTAGCCTGGTACCAGCAGAAATCAGGAGAAAAGCCGAAGCGCCTTATCTATCTTGCTTCCACCCGTCCCTCTGGGATCCCAGACCGGTTCAGTGGCAGTGGGTCTGGGACCGATTTCACTCTCACAATCAGCAGGGTTGAAGCGGATGATGCTGGAGATTATTACTGTCAGCAGTATCGCAGCTACCCTTCACACAGTGATACAGACCAGCACAAAAACCTGCCTGTGTGGTTCAGTTCAGTGTCACAGCTGCTTCCTAAATGGTCACTTTATCTGTGCACCTACCACACCTGTTGCAGGGGTGGGGAGGGCAGGATTTACAGACACTGCAGTTCTGCCACTGCTCCCCAGCCTGCAGCACAGAGAGGAATAAACACATATTTGGAAAGTAAATCCCTCGGGCTCTCATCTGAACTGTTTTTCCCCAGGGTAAATGATTCAGTTCCCAAAACCCAAACAATGACTTTCACTTACTGCCCTATAAACACGGTGAGCATTTCAGAGTTCAAACAGACCTGGTCAGTCCAGGAGTTTATTGGCAGTGCCGCCAGGTGGGGGGAAGAAGTGAGAGCCTGAGCTCTGGGGCTCCTGGAGCCTGGGAAGGCTGCAGCAAAGGAACAACTCAGGGTGCTCCCTAGCCACCCATGTACTGGAGACATGGCATGACACTGACAGGCTGAGTCAGGAGCTGCATGCAGCCTTCAGAGCCCTGACATCCCCACCCTGGCCTGTGCCTCTCCATCCCCTGCAGCTGGGAGGAGGCAGAGCACAGGAACAGACCACATTCACCACGCTGTCTAGCTGCACTTGTGCTGACCCCTACGTGTAAATAAGGAGACAGGGATTAGCACCGAGGGCCTGATACAAAAACCCCCTCAAGTCAATGGAAAGACTCCTACGGACTTCAAGCCTTAATCCATCTATTCAGGGTTCACCCGTTTACTGAGTGCTTTAACTGACCTGTGCACAGCCACACACACTCCTCCTCCACTCCGCACACACAGAGAATACACTACTGTATCATTGTCAGGAGATCTCAGGTGTAACAGTGATATTAACTGGGACCTAAGCAAGAATTGTGAGCAGAGAACATTTATTCCCAGTCAACCTGACAAGTGGCATTTCAGTCCATAGTGAGGGAGCTGGCCCAGGTCCATAGGGTTGAACTTGCCAATTTCATGTGGGGCCCCTTCTGGTTTTGTGCATGTGTATCGATCACATGAATTTTTATCTGACACAGATTTGCATATTCCCACCCCCAAGTGATATTTCCCTGCTCCTGTTACTGTTATAAATGTTCTCTGTCTATTGTTATGGCTTGTTCATCAGCAGCCAGCCGGTCAGACGTAGCAAGATGATCTCACAGGCTCCACTCACCTGGCTGTTGGTGCTCTGGATCCAGGGTAAGGATCAAACTGTCTGAATTAAAATGATTTTTTATTTATTTACACTGCAGTAGCACCTCGATGGCCTGAATAGGAATCAAGGCACCTTTGTTCTAGGCACTGTACAGACACATAATGAAAAGATGGTCTCTGACTGGAAAGCAACAGATTGAGCCAACAACAACAACAAGTTTCAGAGGAGCAGTCATGTTAGTCTGTATCCGCAAAAAGAACAGGAGTACTTGTGGCACCTTAGAGACTAACAAATTTATTAGATCATAAGCTTTCGTGGACTACAG